ATTACATGTAGAGGAATAGACCACTTGAGCTGAAGTGCGAGGCTGATCAAAATGTGCCTTCTCTCTCCTCTTATGTCGAACAAACTCCTCTCTTTTCCCCGGCAGAAAGGTGCAGCTTGCAAAGGAGAATATTTAAATGCAAGTGGTCCTGAACTGACAACAGATGGTGCAGGAGATGAAGTGGAAATGAGATGTAGATTGAGAGTTAGAGGGTTATTTGAGAAAAAGCTAACAGCACAGGAGAAATTTGCTGATGACCGACCAAAGGGCCGGATACAGGATGTCTCCTCGTATTGCTCTCTGTGGGAAAGCTGGAAAGGCTTCTCGCTGCATCAATATGATGATGATGTTGACCTGAACAGAATGTGGCAGTGTGATAATGAAGTCATTCTGGACCTTAATGCATCCCAAACTCATTTTGTATGGCAATTACACAGCAATGAAACATGCAGGCAGCAGAAACGGGCACCCGAACGGCTGAGTGAGGTCCTGGAAACGTCCCGAGGTCTCAGGACACCAGAATGTGAGGAGTCATTTAGAGTGCACTCGGAGACAGACTCGACTGGACAGAATCGAGGGGATTTAGTAACGGCACGCTTCGTTAACCAGGACAGAGGGCACTGAATCCACAGCACGGAAAGTGACAATTAACTCTCTCTCTCTCTCTAATTCTCGAAGATAGAGATGCTTCAGGTCTTTTTCTTCTTCGTGTCTCTAACCTTTCCTTCACCCTCGAGACTGAAACTATCCAGACTAGAGATGCCGAATAAAAAGTTTGTGAAATAAATTCAGAGCCTCTTATAACTCAGTGCTTATTGTCCTAAAGCTGGGATAGAGAATAAAAGATGCGAGGTTATGTTCCAACACATGGGATTGATTGACCGCCATATCACCTTGGTGTTGTTGGGATAGGTGTGGGTACTGAAATCTGGTGCCACTATAGACCTGTTTCCACCAAGCGGTCTGATTCAGTTTGGTTCGGTACCCATTTATTGGCGTTTCCAACGTCAGAAGTTGGGAATGGTACCAAAATAAGGGACCAGTACCGTCCTATTTTTTTTTTTACCCTTCTGTTGGGGGGGTCAAGTGGATCGATTCGACCCTTAAAGGGTCACAACCACAGATTTTGGTTCTTGGTTTTGCTACGACTCAAAGAAGCTGAACCTGCTCAAAGATAGCCCCGTGGCACACTGAAAATAACTTAACTTTACAAAACCTGTAGCGTCCTTGTGGAACCTGAGGATGCCACCGATGGAAAAACACGTTGTTCGCTCACAGTAAAATACAGTAAAGTTATTTTCAGTGTGCCACAGAGTTTTGATTTATTTTTCATGGTGTGTTCCTGCAACCGTGCACACCTGAGAACGTATAGGCTGTGCACGGGGGTACCCTGTTGGCCTTTTAGATTCTGCTTAGAGTTAGCTTAGCTTGTAGCTCCCATCCAAATCCCGCCACGTTGTATTCGGTTGCTTTTGTTGTTGTTGTCACATCCATGTATGAGGAGGCTTATTGATGAGGTCCGCAGCAACCATAAACTACAAGTGCAGGACATCATCGACAGGAAGTCGCTGCAGAGAAATGTAAGCTGTGCGCAACAATTTTATGAATAGAAACATGCAGTAAAGGGCAGAAATATACCCGAGTATCGTCTATCGGGAAACACTGACGTGCATGCAGATTTAGATGAAGTCAGAGCACATCGTGCATTAATACTTTGCAAGTATTAGTCTGAGTGGTTGCATAAGACCAAAGTTTGATGCAACATTCTGCACTATGCCTCTGGACTCGATCTGTTTAAATAAAAGCTCTTCTACCCAGAAATTGCAACAATAAAACACCTCTGTGCATCATAAAGTCATTCCTGGGTGTAATTTTATTCGAGTCATGCTCTGTTATCATTCAGTGTAGGATCGACCATGTGAAACAGCTTGTAATGGTCTGCAAATCAAGCACTCCACTGAGCAGTTATTTTCCAAGAGTACAACCAAATCCAATTATGTTTGCCCGGATGATAAATACCTGCAGTGTTCCTCAGCCGCTAATAGAGTGACGTTAAGTGACGCAGCGTGCGTTCTTTCACACATGGCATGAAACCACTGACAAACTCTGGACTCACCCTCCTCTCTGCTTTGTTCCCCTTCTCATTGATTATTTTATTGATTGTGTTCTTTGGTTTTTGTTCTTTGTTTAGCACCTTTGAGTATTCAGAAAAGCGCTATATGAGTCCAATGTATTATTATTCTTTCAGACAGGATGTGCTGCTTTCTGTTAGCACAGAATATAGGCTTGTTGCAAACTAAATTAAAATGTCTGCACACAGGCAGAGGAGGCATAGAGAGGTGAATCAGAGCAAACAGCAGAGTGTAGCCTGAAACGTAGATTGTATTCCAATCATTGCAAATGAGAGAGTCGGTCATCTCTCAACCGGGAGGTCAGGGGTACAATCCCGATCTCCGACAGCCACTTGTTCGAGTTGTCCTGGGACAATGCACTGCAGCATATTTAAGTAGCCAGAAGTCAAGAAAAGCTCTATGCAAAGCTCAAGTCCATTTACAATCAAATCCTTAAACCTTGACATATGGTTCTAAAATCAGTTAAAAATAATTGAGTTTTGCATTGCAACCATTACAGCTTATTTTGCAGCTGCTGGCTCAATCAGTGAACTGGAAAAATTAAAAAAACTTTTTGTACCTTAAAGAGAAAATCAATTATTTAGATTTTTAAAAAAATACTCAGATGATGCTTTATTGGTGTGTATTTGGCAGTTTAATGAACATCTAACACAGGAAAGCTGGATTAAAACGTTGAAAATGTTTCATGGGGACTTTCAAAGTAATGTATTGCAGCAAAACAAGATCACAGTTTGTCTCACCCAAAGGTCCGTGTATTTATGTCGTGTTTGAAGGAACTCCATAAAAAGGAAAATTGCGCGAGTGAACACATTTGAGCTGGAAATGAAGTTTCTCGAATTTGCTCAGGCTGTGGTCCAGCACTCGTCCTTCAGAGAGCCAGAGGAATTTCAATGGAGTCATTCTTCCAGCAGTACTCACAACAAACTGAACAACACTCAGAAGCTCATTTTCAGCTGCATATTTCCGTCTGCCACCTGTGTAAGTGCTTCGTAATTGGAGAAATTTATACAAAGGCAGATGCAGGCGAATGTGGCCGCCAGAGGAGATCAAACAGCTTTATCTTGTAGACATTTCCTCTCTTCTATTCGCCATTTAGACGTGATTAAAGAACCAAATACAGACACAAAGAAAGCGTCTTCATGATGGATCAGCACTCCGGTATATTTGTCTCTTTTCATCGTCTCTTCCTCATTTGTTTTCTCTAAATGTGTAAATTGGATGCATCTTAATCTTGAAAAAACAAACAGATGGAAACTTTTATCCTTCCTGTATTTGTTTCGCCGGAGAAACTAAACAAACTTTTGTATCCTTGATGGGAAGCCGTGCTGGGTAAATATGATAGATAGCACATGACAGTTCTGATGTGCTCCGGGTGAAAATGTTGTCTCGTTGCGTTCGCACATGCAGCTCCTCCTGGAAAATCACACACCATCAGTTTCATTTCTTATGAATAAACTTTCTTTGTAAGTAGACTTGAGCTTGTATATTATTTTCTACACACCGCATGTCACACCGACACATTCACACACTGATGGTAGACGCTGCTGTGTAAAGAGTCCATCAGAAGTAACTCATCACATTCATACACTGCTGACAAAGCAGCGGGAGCATTCCAGGGTTAAGCGTCTTGCCCAAGGACACATCGGACATGTGAGCGCAGGAGCTGGGGATTGAACCCTTGACCTTCCTGTGGAGAGACGATCGTCTCTACCTTCTCACACAGCAGAATGTAGTTTCGTAACAGAAACACTGAAATTCAGATGGAGCCTGAACGTGGCAGCTCGACTCATTCTCGCGTCTTTATTTATTTTTGTTTTGCTCATTTGGACTCATGGAAGGAGCGATCTCTTTCGCAGCGATTACAGAGAACGATGCTGCAAAAGAAAGGAGGTTAAGTGAGTGTGGCAGTTGGATTTGAAGAAAGGAATAGAAAGAGAAGTAAAGATGGAGAAAAGAAGAGCTTGTGTTATCGAGGGCTGGGGGGGGGGGGTGGAAATAAGTGCATCAAAATGCCGTGCAGAAATGCATAAACACTTAAACTGTAGCGGTAACCGAGAGGAGGAGGAGTAATGGACGGAGCAGCAGACCGAGAGACGAGTTAAGAGAGTGTTATTCATATTTCAAGTTTCCACGCATGGAGGGAACGCCTCGGAGAGAGAAAGAGAAGTCTATTAAAAGATAAGGATGAGTCTATAATTTAAGAGGAAACGAGCTGTCTGCAGCTGGCAGCACAAACATTATAAAAACAACAAAAGTATTACAGCCATTAAAAAGATATTGACATGCTAAGATTACAGCGAGTGGCGATGCTATCAGGAGAATTGATTATGATAATACATCACCGCCTGTGTTTAATACACGAGCTCTGATAACCTGCTGACGCCACATTTTTCTCTGACAGAGATTTTGTGATGGAATATGTAATCGGGCGTAACAACATGGCCGCCTGCTTTTCCATCCAGTAATATTCTGTTGTGAAACTTTGGAAGTGTTTGCGAGCATACAGCAAGCTTTTAAAGGAGCAGTCAGTGAGATGTGTAGTGAGTGAAATGATAAATCGACCTTACTATATGATCAGACATTAAGGAAACATGCTATGTTGAAGTGCTGGCTTCTCTGACAACAATGCAGCAGTCAGTTTGTCCTCCTTCTAACTTTACATTCTGCTCCTGAATGCTCTGGATTTGTTTGGACCAGAGAAGGTAGGCGGTTTTAAGGCAACCCCACACGGCCGTTTTGGACGCCCCTCGGTTTGCAGGATATGAGAGCAGTTATCAGGTCAAACCAACAGATGTTGAATGAGTCTATCTTAGGTAGCGTTTCCTCTACTTGCTGCAATATCTGAATCCACCTTTCTTTACCTTCCAGGTGTTGCTGCTGTTGTGCATCGCTGACTGGATGGTTCACTCCATGTGGCGGAGCGGAAAAGACCCGGACAGTTTTTCCATTCCCTACCTGACGGCTCTGGGCGACCTGCTGGGCACCGCCCTGCTGGCGCTCAGTTTCCACTTCCTGTGGGTGATAGGAGACCAGGACAGCGACGTGGGTGACTGAGGCGACGGTAAAACAGAAAGGCGTCTGCAGGCGGAGGGAACGTCGCTGCCCGCCAGCCGACTTCTCACGACCAGAAGCATTGTGGGAATGTTTGTGCTCTCTGTCGCTGGTCAGCACATTCCTCTCCTTCATTTCACTCAAACCACAGGATGGTTTAAAAACTATTTTCTGCTCCTGGCTTTTTTTCTACTCACATAATAACTCCATAAATTTAGACTGTTCTCAGCTCAGATTCTGATCTGCATAGTTTGCACCAAAGCACTTGCATATTATAACGCTGGTTCCTGTTGGGGGGGGGGGCACCGAGGGAACCTCGCTGCTTTTTGCGAGCTGGTCTAATCCGCGGTCGGAGGTCTTTTACTCAAAATAAAATATCCTTGGCAGGCAGCTATTTCTGGGATTTACCACCCAGTGTATCACCTGTCTGATGTATTTCTACTCTCCGTCTGTGGAGGGACGCAGAGGGAGTAAAAAAAAAAAGAAAAAAAAGCAAAGCTCAACTCTTAAAATCACATTTTTATCAGCTGTGTTTGCAGCTCTGTCAGAACCAGGAAAAAAAGGGAATCACTTATTTAGATTAGTGGTACGATAATTTAACATCCAATTCTGTCTTAACTTGTTTTTATTTGTGCCAGTGTTTTTATCTCTCTGCGACGACAAGGCGGGCTCTTCATCCTGACTGAATTTAAACTTGAGTTGTCTAACTCATTCTAGTGTCTGCTTTCCTTTATATGTACACAAGTGCATTAACGAACCATGTTCAACCCGTACATTTCATGAAGTCCAGTCTCCTGAATCAACACTAAGTTTTACTCTGAAGAGAGTCAAATGTTCAGTGAAGTTGAGAGAAAATGAATTAAATTGAGCGCATTAATGTCCAATTAGGTAAAGTTCACACTAACAGCCTGACGACCAGGTATCAGGTTGTGGCCCAGGTGTAGCAAGCAAGCGAACGCTGTGACTGTGCAAACTTAGCTTAGCATACAAACTAGGACAGCAGGATTAAAGAGTTAGAGTGGTATAGAGGGGTAAGGATGTTTTTCGGGATGACAACTGGAATGTCCGACTTCCGAGATCAAATTGAACGCGTCATGACATTAGCTGAATTAGCAACAGTCGATGCCGCAGTGAGCAAAATGAACGTTGTCCAATCCCAATTTAAAGACGTAGCTGCAGGGCTGCGGGAATAGGTCAGTTCTTGCATTGGATCAACCAGATGACACATTTACTCGATTATGTAAGCTCATAGCCAATCACTTGTTCAGTTGTAGCCTCCTGAAGATGCTAACAGCCCTTCTATTGACACTCATGCAAACTGACCCCATGTGAGTTTTAACCTCTCATTCATTTCCCTTCGTTTGTTTGTTTGTTTGTTTTCTTTGTCTGGTCTGTTGTACTCGTTGGGTGGGATGTTTACTCGTTAATCACATGCTGTTTACAGTTCATGCATGCGTATTATTTACATGCTCGCACACAATTAATCAGGAGTTGTTGTTTTTTTTTTTATTTCCCCGTGGTCTGATTTTCTGCTCATAACAGACTAACATCATAATCAGTGTACACCGATTAAATGACTCCACTTTATTGATCCACTTTAAGCATCCTGGTTAATAAATGAATCCCTCTGACTCCAGGGGAAAATCATCTCGCTTCAAATTGAAATCCTGAAAACCGAACCTTCTTCCTCATGTGATAATCAGCATCATGTCGTGCATGTGAACGCAGCCTGTGGCTCTCTAAAAACTCCACTATGTGCCTCTTGAGATTGTTAACAAGGTATACTTCTCTCTAATGCCGTGAATGCAATTTTCTCTCCACAGCATTATATGTAAATCTGTGCAATGATTTCTTTTTGTACTCACTCTCGGTTGAAGAGTTTCATTCCAGAAAGAGATATCCACTGTTTCAATAAGTTAAGGATGAAACTTGGTATAAATGTCAAAGTTGTCAGAATGAGGAGGATTCAAAGTGGATACATTTCCTTTTTGGTTTGATTCCCTTTTATTTGATTTTTTTTTTTTTTCCGGCTCCTATGGGCCAAAAAAATGTCTCAATAAATGTCTTTTCTTTTATTAAGAGTGTCTCATTTCGGGTTATTTTAGTTGAAGGGTTTTTGGGCTGACAGAAGCCGTCCTCTTATCCACATGTGCGTACAGCAGCAGTCATTACGGCGCTGAAAAGAAGAGACGGCCGCCACATGAGCTCTGAATGCAGCAGATGAAATCTCAGATATTGAGCCGGGGAGGAGAAGAAAAAAAAAAAAAACACAGATGTGATTGAAATGAACAGTAAAAATCTTCACATCCCTCTGTTTGCCTGCAGTGAGCCCTTAGATACTATCAACATCTTCATCTCATGGTCTCCATGGCAACTGAGTCGGGCGATGCTCATCTTCTTTCCTTGACCCCGGTGTTTAGGAAAAAGAAGCTTTTGTGCACAGATGTAACAAATACGCCCACCTCCATTTAAAAAAAAAGTGTTTCCCTGGAAAAACTGCTCGTGGGTTACAGTTTTCTTTAACATCGGAAGTCTGTATTCTCTCACAGAGAAATTGAGTTAGCTTAAGTTCAAGTGTCTCAGGGGTTCTTTCACACATGAGGGATAAATGGAGCGCGAATTGGAAGGCCAGATTTGTGGAGCGATAGCGGCATTGCAGGTGTTGTGAAGAGGGAGCCGAGCCGAAAGGCAACATTTTCGGTTTACTAGATAATCTACGTTCCAACCCTCACCCTGTGGTCATGAGCTTCGAGAAGTGACCGAAAGAACGAGATCGCGGCTACAAGCAGCTGAACTGATCTTCCTCTGAAGGGTGTCTGGGCTCAGCCTTAGAGATAGAGTGTGGAGCTCGGATCTGGAGGGAGCTCGGAATTGTAGAGCTGCGCTCCTTCACAGCAAAGGGAGCCAGGTGAGGTGGTTCAGGTATCTGATGAGGACGCCTCCTGGTCGCCTCCCTTTGGAGATCTTCCGGGCACTTTCAACTGGCAGGAGACCCCAGGATACAACTAAGAACTAGCTTGAGGGGTCATATGTCCGTTCTGGCCTGAAAGCGCCTTTGGATCTAACAGACCGAGCTGGAAAACATCGTCGACCGGCCCTTGGATAAGAGGAAGAAAATGGACGGATGGATGGGTTTGTTTTATCCTACGGTAGAGCGCTTCAAACAGCCTCCTTGTAAACTTGCTGCAGTGAAATCTCATGAGGGCATGTTTCATTTTTAAAAAGGCGTCAGAGAGAGACAACATAGAGTCTAGAAGAAGCCTGGACTGACTCAGGAGCTGAAGCTGGACGTCTTCACCATGGTGCCTGGCTTTTTAGTTTCATGACGACTTTCAGCACACCCCGAACTCTTCTTTAGTCTCGTGAGAAAATAAACAAGAAGCTGTTTGATCATTTGAAGTCTGTGGGTTTTTGCCTTGACATAAGCTAGCTAAAATCAAGTTTGACCAGCTGATATTTTGTGGCCCCCTGTTTTTATTTCTCTTTATATTATTCATTTGCATCACTTGCATGGATACTTCAAGGTCCTCTTGACTGGTCTGGACTTCAGAGGCTCGATAAAGCTCGATACTTCACAGTGCAAAGAAATCTGTGTATTTCCTGCAAACAAACTCTCAACAGAGTTAATAAAAAATGAAAACTCAAAAGAATGAATAAAAAATGTTTCGAGGTTCTGCATCTGACAGAGCGGGACTCGTGACCTTGAGTACTCCTGAACATCCCGAGCAGACCTTTGTGTCTTTTTCATTTCATCCTTTTCTGGCGGCTTATTAGCGTGACAGCTGCCATTTCCGATGAGCACCGATAGGTTCGCTCATTTGTGAGAGTGAAGCGTCTGTGCGTATAGCTGTCACACCGCTGAACATCAAAGTTCCCCCTCGCAAGTCTCCTCAGAATCGATTCTCTGCAGCCGATAAGGAAACGAGCGAGGGACCGATGGAGGCACGGACGTCTCTCTTCCTGTAGCGCTAAGCTAGCATGGCAGCATGGAGAAAAAGAGGCAACTTCAAAGTCAGACGTCACTAGGTGTGTCAGGCAGAAAGACGATCAAAAGAAGCCCTGTGTGTGCATGGTCTACATTTAAAGTCTGGGTTTGTAGAACCCGATGCATGCCTCTTTGGTGAGAAACATTCACAACTTTCCAGCATCGTCAAATGGATTTTCTTTCCTCTCGTGATCAAAGCTAAAGGCAGCACATACAGATTATTCATGCTTATGGATTGTCTTACTGAGGGAATCGGTTGTGTTCTTCAGATGAAGGTCTTCTGACCTCGGGGAGCATCGAACAGCAACAGGACTCCTTAAATGATAAAAGAAAATTAATGCAGTGCAAAAGCTGCTGTGTTTCATTATCAAAGGCTGCAGCGCTGATGAATATATATTTGATTCTGTGTGTGTGTGTGTGTGTGTGTGTGTGCGTGTGCACGTGTTGTGTTTAACAACGCTCCTCTGTTAGCGTCTAGACTGCTCATTTTTTAACAAGGTCGACAGAGCGCCTGATAAATTGAGCTGTGAAGTTTTGGGGGTTTTTCGTTCGCTCTCCTCTGCAGTGACCCACACAGGACCAGAGGGGCTGTGAAACCTGACCCCACCCCACTCCACTCCCCCCACTCTCCTCCGTCAGTCATCCAGCCACCCTCGGGGTTATTAGCAGCATGTTAATATGGAGGGTCCAGACTTCAGGGGGTTTCTGAGGAGTCTGGCAGCCCTGCTCGTGAATGCCCCCCCCTTCACCCCCACCTCACCCCCACCCACCCTGTGTGCTCGGGGAAACAATAGATGTTTCATATACTCGTAATGTGATTGGAAACAGATTTCTCTGGAGACACTGTGCCAGTCAACGCACGGTGCTCGGACATGTTTGAGCACCGTGTCACAAAGGAAACCATTACCCTCATTGGTAATATGGTAATGTACGCCGGGTTCTTATATTACATAATCGCCCCCATGTGCAGATAAAGAACCTCAGCTCTTTATGTGTCATTTTGACATTTACAAAGCTGGCTCCTGTTTGAACATATTTAGGAGTCTAAAGGAGTCGAAATCGATCTTGGTCTCGAGAACACTTTTTGAAGGAGTCTCCTTTGGGAAACAGAAGGATTTTTACTCGACCTTGTCCCGGTCTCAGACTGGGCTGACTCTGACAACCACTGATCGGCTATTTGTCCTCGTCATTACTGAGATTAGAAGGAAACGTCTTTCTGAAACAACAAATAACTTCAATTAAATTATAACTTGATTTTTATCCCCCGGCAACCTTCACAGTGTTACGGTCTAAATGAATGGCACGCCCCTGCACACTACATTTGGATTTTTCATTGATATTTATGGTCTTGGTCTTGTCTCGGTCAGTCCCTGCCTCCCCCCTCCTAAAACATGTTGGTGTGAGCTCCATGTTTGAACACAAACAGCCCTGGAAGTTATGATTAAAAATCACTTTAATTCTCCTGTCATCAAATCTGAGCGTGAGGTCGACTTGTGTTGTATTAACAAGCTGTGTCTACAGAGGTCAAACTAACCAGAGCATCTTATGTGCACTTACAGAGGTTAAACAGGGAAATATCTGACACCTCAGGGTGACATTCCTCTGCAGTCAGACCGAACAGACTCTGACTTTTCCCCGTTGGTTTTATTGAGCTGAGTTTTGTTCTCTGTCCTCAAAGTGATGTTACTCGCACAGACAACATCACGCTCTCTTAAATGTCATTTCTAAGAAGAAAAAAAAAAAACAGAGACAGCTGGAAGGCGGCGTGGATGTGACACTGTGACCTCGGCATCCCCCTCACTGCGTCCTCTGTCTTCTGCTCTGACAGTAACTGTACTTTAGACAAGTGAAGATCGATTGCGTTGTTACCGAGGACGGATGACTCAGCCTGAAGTGGGTGCTCACAGCTTTCGGAGTGAAACGCCGCTCGATTCGTCTTTATTTAGGCTGTTATCAATCTCATTTGGCACCGAACCCAAACACACCCAGCAGGAGGAGTCTGACAGCCTTTACTCTGCGGGGAGATTCACAGCTGCATGTGTGACACTCTGTGAGCGCTCCAGACAAACTAATTGCCCGTCACCGGAGAGGGACACAGTGAGGACACATTTCAGGCAAGCGGAGTTTACTCTGATCTGACGTCATCACTCAGCTCTGGAGGAAACGGAGAGAGACCGTCCTTCACCCTCCATCCAGCTACGACTGGGTCCAAGAAAAACATGTCAGAGCTGATGTATCATCACATCTGCGAAGTGTCACACAGCTCTCTCCGACTCCTCAAGAAGCGCTCCATTAACCAACACAAACATTTTAAACTTGTTATGTTTAGAACTCATGTGTGATGACAGCTCATAAATGTGACACAAAGATCAGCTCACACATGTGGACTCAGAGGGAGCGTTCTTAAAAGGCAAGTCGTTTAATGTAGTTCAAGGTTCGGTACACAGAAAGAGGAGAAGGCAAAAGGCAGGGTAAACAAAAATCAGGGAGAGACACACCAAGGCTAATGAGACAAAACGCTAGGTCGAGGGAAACACTATGAACTGGTAACACGAGGGAGAACACGCTGGAGTTAAATACAGACAATCAGGTGATAAGGAGACACAGGTGATGGGTAACCAGGGGAGGGCTGACACAGAACATGAGGAGCAGGATCTGAAAAGACAGAGACAAGGGTGATTCAAAAACGTACAAAAAACATGACCTATTTTTGGGAGAGCAGATTTCTGTCGGGAATATTCAAAATTGAAAAGTAAAGAAGGACCAGTAAAAGTGAAAATTGGGGGGACTTTGGGACCATGTTTATAACCAACAAGCTACCATTTTACAACAGTTAGCTGTTCCATAGTCCGTTTGGCCAGGGTCAAAAGTCTGAGCAGAGTGTGATGGCTACATAGGCGAGGATTGAGGAACCCTTCATTGTGTACCAAAACTTTAAGATGAACGCCAACGTTAGCTGTGTAGCTAATTAGAGTGTTAACTGGGCGATAAGGCAGAGAGCAGGAGCTGAGCTCATCACAGAAGAGCTGACACGTCTAGAAGACCAAGATCTTGTCTCTCTGGACGGTGTCGAGGTCGTCATCTGTGGTTAGGAGAACCAGGAAGGATCCAAACACGGCGATGGAGAAGAGGAAGTGCCAAAAATGTTGTGGTCGTCTAAGAATGACAAGAGGTCAAAGCTACTAAAGATAAGCAGCGAGCTACAGCCGCCAGGTTAACTCCTTAACTCCCTGAGTCAAATCACTGGAGCACATGGATCAGACTTCACTCACTTCCCCCTGAACATGTTTTTTTTTTTCACAAATGCAGCAGTAATCCCCTCCACCTGGAGATGGATTCAATAAAGAAGGCGGCTGCTGTGATTCTCTGGGCTGCTTTTAAAGTTAAAGTTTTAAAGTGGGGGAATGACATGCAGGGAACGAACCACAGGCTGGATTTGAACTCGTGGCACCTACCTGGAGGACCGAGCCTCCATGCATGGGACGCGCACTTACCGCTAGGCTTCTGCCCCCCCCACCTCCTTAGGTTTTAGTTTTTGAGCCTAATTGGCCTGAAAGTTGCATTTCCGGGATAGTTTACCCAAAGTGCGTTTACTTCTCAGCATCAGCAGAAGAAAATTAAAAAAAAGGACAAAGTGAAAAGAAAACAACAGTTAAGCCAAACTTTGATCCCGCGCCTTCTGCGCCTCCGTCCATACATCAACTGAAGTGCAGATTTCCTGGAGGATAGGAAGATTCTCCATCTGTCGGTCCGGTGCCTGCGGTGTCTTTATCCGGGCCTCGAGCCGGAAACGATGTCGGTGCAGACAGCTCATCAGGATGAGTGGCGTATACGGAGCAGCCTGAAGGTGAAACACTGCATATTAGAGCTGCTGGAGTAATTATTCATGCTGCATATGTAGCTGCCCACCCTCATATCCCGTCTGTCAAACAGCATGTAATGGCGGAGCTGCTGCCGGGGGGATTCTGTCAGGAGTTTAATACATGTGCTAGCGCGGAGCCATAAAAAGAAAACCAGCCCAACAAAGCGCTTCTACAGCCATCAATAACCGTGTTATTCCAATATGTGGGTTGTCCTGACTGGAAGGTAAATGCAATTTGCTAAACCCTGTAGAGGAATTGTTTTATTGCCTCCCTCCTTTCGGGGAAGTTAGAGGTCACCCTCAGACAAGTGCACGGGTCTGTAAAGAATCATCGACTGCACAGAAACACAGCGCACCATCTGTGCCGTCTTAAGATGCTTTTCTGAACTTTTTTAATCCCTTTGTTCAACTTTTTTTTTCCCAATCAGGGTTTATATTTTTTCCGGTCACTGGAGACTGAAAGGTGCAATGTTGACCAGTGCAGGGCAGAGAGGTGGGTTTAGAAATCATCATAAATTAGTGTGAAATGATTATATTCTATATTAAATGGATCACATTATCTACTGTCATCATGCTCAGCGTGTGTCAGTGGTAAATGAAACGTAGGGAAGTTGACATATTGATATAACTTCACCACTCTGTAATGATCTGAAAGATAATTCATGGTTGAATCCAAAGCACATCAGGCCAGATCTCATTTCTAGCATTGATACACGTAGCAGAGTGTTAGCTAGAAATGCTAACCTTTCCTGCCATGTAGTGTCATCAGATCTGACTCTGCTAGCGTCTTCAGCCCGTTGTTTGTGAACTGTTAGCCTGACGTCTACATGCCGTGGCTAAATGTTGACATTGGAGAGGGTCATTTATTAAATGCTAGTTGAGTGCGATTATCAGGTGACCGGGACGATTTGTAGAACTGGGAGAGAATCCATTCCCAAGTTCAAGGATTTTTGTTCTGTTAAATCGACCTTTGAAACAAATGTTTTGAGGTTGCAAAGTTCAAGATTATTACTTTATTAATTATCATATTTATGCCATGATCTTAAAATAAACAAAACAGAACCTTCCCGAGAGCAAACCCATTTAACAATATTTAAATTATTCTCCAAGTCACAATGACTCTGTCCTTTTCGGCCTCCCCTTGTGCATTAAATATATGAAACATCTCTCTTTTGTTGCATCTGTAAAGCTTCACACTGGGTTGCACAGAAGAGTGAAAAGGATATGTTTTGTTGCTTTCAGCTCTCTCGTGTTCTCTCAAAGGTCAGATCTGTCTGCTCGTCATTGTTCACCCTGGTTGAACTTTAAAAAGGACCTACACTCTGACTGTGTGAGAGCTTTTATTGATTGGACAGAAATTGCTTGATTTGGGATATTTGGCCGTTTTACTCGCTTGAACATCGAGCTGTAGTGCTTCTATTTGGTGTCCTTACTCGCCAAGAGGGCAAAGGACTGGCGGTGATGGGGCGCTGATGGCGCCGTGGTTAGAGCGTGCTCCCCATGTATCGAGGCTGTAGTCCTCCAAGCGGGCGTCACGGGTGCGAATCAGAGCTGTGACTCCTTTCCCGCATGTCATTCCCTACTCTCTTTCTCCCTGATATCCGACTGTATCCACTGTCCCATCTCTCCAATAAAGGCACAAAATTAACCAAAATAAATATAAAAAAAAGAAAAAGAAAAAGAACTAGTGGCTATGAAGGTCGACTGTGGTTTCCACTGACAACGCCTCAGGTCTTGGCCCAAAAGTTGCAATTGAACACACCGCAAAGACTGCAGCCGACAGACAACCACCACGTACGTTCTGCTCATGCGTGAGCAGAAGTAACTCTCCATGCCAGCAGGGGGCGGTAGTCTGTAATCGTCATTCCAAAAAGGGGAAATCAGAAGAGGATGAGGACGGAGAAGAATGCGGATAAATAAATAGTGGTTATAATACGATAAGACCATTTTCACACCGCTGTCGCTTGCCACTCGTAATCTAGATACTTCTAATTGAGAACAATGTCTGATAAAAAGTCGCCTCTTGACTGTAGTCGTTTATGTGCTTTGGTCACTTCAGTTTTTCTTCTCATTCACTGATTCACTTCACTAAACAGCCAATCAGAGTGACTCCTCTCACCAACCAACGGCTGAAAAAAAGGCAGACGGGGACTGACGGGTATCAAGTGCCAAAACTAGGGGGACGGTCGCTCACTAGTTTGACCGACAGCCGACCGTCTCCTTGGTGTGTCAGGGCCTTTCAGCGTGGACAAATGGCTCCACAGTGTCCTCTGTCTAAAAGCCCCGGTCCCTCTCACTGCTATAAATTCTCCCTCCTGATGACAGATGACATTTTTTTATGGCTGCATTAACCCTTCATGACGTTAAATCCCTCATATGTGAGCAAAGCAATCCGCCTCCATTCTGTTCATTTAGCCCTTAACTCTAAATGTCACATTTGCATAAGACCAGCAGGTGATTTATCATCCAATCAGGTTATCCATTCAATTTGGGTGTCCTGCCAACACTTTTCATCTTTATGCATGAAAAATGGACTAACCATGCAGAGTGTTTTACCTTAAAGCCCTCCTGAACACCGCAGGTATTTATCGCTGGCCGGTGTGCGGCGGCTGGGAAAGAAGGGAAGGCTTCTCTTTGTTGTCTTTAAAGGGTTAAAGCGTTCTCATCACAAGCTCATTCCAGTCATGGGAAACTAAAATCAGAAATCCAACATGACAAGGAGGCATGAAAACCATCTTATCAGGTTTATTTTCTGCGGGGCTTCACTTGTGTGTTTAGATTCCTCTTCAGGGTCAGGAGGAATTATCCTCAAAGACATGGGACAACTCATCCCTGACATTTAATCTTAACCTCGTCTGAACTTTACAGCGTGTTAGGTTCAGGTGTAAGGCCGCCACCTTGGCTCTGATCTCCTCCATGAACATGAATGGAATGGAAACATTTCAGTGCAAGCTGTGAAGAGATGAGCGGACATTTCTAATAATCACGGATAAGGTTCATTCTTGAGATCAGAAATCCTTTTCCTTTCCTGACAGTGGCCTTTCTGTTCGCCTCTGGGAACCATTAAGGTTTTCACTTTTTTCCCTGTGGATTCCCACGACATGTGGACGTTAGACTAGAGTTTTTATTACTATCGTCTCCACAACCGGTCATCAGCTTATACCTCTGTATACATTTGTGTGTGTCTGAAGGTCTCTGATTTCCCTTTAGTTACTGAGTAGTATTGTCCTCTAGCATTTAAGTGTTTGTTATGAAGAACGCAGACAGACCCACATCACGGACACAAACTGTTTTGGACTGAAGTTAAGAAGTTATTTATTGTCCCTGCTGTTATTTTGGATACTGGCTGGGAGGTCTGAGGTATGAGGGCAGGGTTCTGGTGTCTGGCTTTCCAGTTTGAGCTAGGCGTTGGACTATTGGAAATCACAATGGATGGTGAAATGGACAATCTGAAGTCGAGTGGCAGACTGAGCCGGCTTTTATACTGCGGGGTGTGGAGGTAGCTTGATTGCAGATGAGCAGCAGGTTCGCAGGCTTGATTTAGCGGCAAGGTGTGTGGATCCACACCCAGCTCCATATGAACACACACACACACACACACACACACACACACACACACACAGGACAAAGAAGGAAACACACAGCGAAGGAAAAGAGGAGGATAAATAGGCTGGGGTCCCCACAGTGTTCTCTCTCTCTGGTTGTTTGCAGGAAAAACCTCGAGCCCTACATTCTGGGCCAATCTCTTTGTCAAATATGAGAAATGCAGGAGAGCCTTTGTCGCTTTTTCTGCGGCTGGATGATGAAGCTGCTGTTCTCTTTTTTTCTCACTCTTCTGAAACACACACACACACACACACGGGTTGCCATTGGCCTCCCTCTAATGACAGGGTGTGTAGCTGCAGAGAGTAGGAAGGGCAATGTGTATTTCAGAGATGAGACCACAAGGTCAGCCAGGAGGAGGAGCGCTGCCAAGTGTGTGTGTCTCTGTGTGTGTGTGTGTGTGTCTAAACGTGTGGTTTGAGACGGGGTGGAGCGGTGGGTGGAGGTGAGGTTAAAGCAGGTGGTTGCACTCAGTTGCTCATCCAAACAACAAGCAGGCCCTGTTATTTCAGTGTGTGTTGTTTACAGCACAGTTTGGATATATAACAGCGTCAGTGTCATTATGTGCAGATATAAAGGATGTTGTCACAGCTTTTATTTCAGGCCAACGACTGAACCATCACAGCAGCGAGGCAAAGCTCTTACATCAAAGGCAGGAGCCCCGGACCATGAGGAACGGGTGGTGGTCTGAGGTCTAAAATCAGAACAGAGGGCAGGCACCTCCTTTAGATCCAGGCTTTCATTGACTGTTATAGTCTGGGGCTCCTGAATGCAAGGTCGTGATTGGCCAAATGAAGTATCAGTGGAAAGGTCAGAGTGTGACCGCCATTTTGATGTTTTGCAAATAAAAAACCTGAATTCATAGAAATTAGTTATTAGAGAAAATACAGTGGGAAATTGGAAAAAACGTGATGGCAATTTAAAGCAATGTGTTAAACTTAAAGGATGAAATGTGTTTGGATAAACTGGATTTGGATCGTCGGGACTCTTTTAGATGCAGCAGGAACAGGAAAACATAGAATATTTCCTTATATAGCAAACGTTTCCTTTAAAAATATGGATTCATTTAGACATTGGATACTGGATTGATGTCAAGCCTATTTAATAAAATATTATATGACAGATATCAACTCCTAAATCTATCAGATTTTTTGAAGGACTACTTTAAAAGTGTTAACGCTCAAAGTGTTTGTTTTTTTTATCTTCTCTTACTAAATCTTTCCTCGGCACAGCACTGAGTCCAGCCCACAGACATGTGTACAGTATCTGACCTCAGAGTCCACATCTGGCCTCGGGCCTTCAACACATTGCACTCCTCTGCTCTCTCATGCCTCCTTCCTCCCCGCTCTGTAAAGTGCCCAGTAAACCTGAAATATCATGAAAAAAGACCTTCAAATATGCGGGAGTTATGTGGAAAACCCTGCGGAGCTGATTGTAAAGAAGGCAGGACTGTGCTGAGGGTTTAAATCTGGCCTGCAGTCTCTCCACTATGACACAGTTTGTGTGTGGAGGTTGCAGAAGGTCGGTCAGTGGGTTGAAGGTTTAACAAACTACGCTGTGATCTGTTTTGATCACACATGCGAGCAATCCCACTCTGGCTTTCTCTTTTTTTCCTCCATGTTTTTCATGTGGTAGATTTTGGACCCGGGGGCTTTGCTCGAAGGCGGGACACTTTAAAGGAACCACTGAGCGCAGCGGAGCTCCGTGTTGGCGTAATGAGAGAGCCGGTGGTCTCTGCAGCGAGGCCGCGCAGGCTCTGAAGCGGGCTGAGACGTTGGCTGAGACGCAAACACAGCGGCTGCACATTTAATGAGCTGCGGATTACAGCGAGCAGGTGCAACAGAGGCAGGAACATGAAGAGCTGCTGATATAAGTCCTCCTAAATCCTCCCTGCAGTGAGCCATTAGGACCTGTGATGGAGTAAAATTTATAAAGTTCAACTGCAGCATATCAATAAATGTATTCTTCTTTGTGTGGAAAATGGATTATTTAAAACTTTGCTAGTTTTAGAAGAGAATGAAATGTTAATGTTGTGTTTCCATGTGGCAAATGGAGTCAAGCGCGTCTTCGTTAATAATAATTAGCTAATGATGCATTTGGACACAGCAAACACAGAAGGGATTATAACCGACTAACTGTGGCAGAATGGAAGAGGACAGAATAAACAAGAAAGTACTCATGTGGAGCAAAGTACAAGAACGCTCCATGGGGAAAAGAGCTTTACTTAATTTTTGAGGGGGTGGATGTGCTGAATATCCACAGGAATACTCTGTGCTGTAATGTCAAAGAGAAGCTCTTGTTTAAGTTTATAGAGGACATATTATCCCCCTTTTCCTCCTTTTCAAACAGTCCCCCTGTGGTCTAAATGAAACATCTGTGCTGTGCTTTGGTCAAAATATATCATGAATCAAGCACCAGAGCAGGTTTATGACCCTGTATAAACCAGCTCTCTCAGAACGCTCCATTTTGGTGTGTGTCTCTTTAAATGCAATGAGCCCCCCCCCCGAGTTTTCCCGGTGGACATCACTCCTTCGCTAGTTTAAAATGGGTACTGCAGTCCACATTCTAAACATTGTAGAGAGCTGTCTCCCCCCGCCCCCTCCTCTCTAGAGTCGATGCTCACGCAGGTTGCCATGTGGTGGACACTGAAGCTTCAGTGTTTAGCCAGCTCTGCATCGGTCTGTAAACCTTTCTGTGTTCTAACCTCTCTCCATTTTTCAAAAGCATCTCCAATATTGATCCTAGTTTGAGCACGTTTCTGCTCGTGGAGCTTATTAGAAACATGCAGAGGCTTTTTAGGTCGGGTACAATCACTTCTATCTGAACCACTTCTCTTGCCCGCTTCCATCACTGCAACACCTGTTGACCTGATAACTGCTCTCATATCTGACAAACCGAGGGGTGTCCAAAACGGTCGTGTGGGGGGTGACTTAAAACCGCCTACCTTCTCTGGTCCAAACAAATCCAGAGCATTCAGGAGCAGAATCTAAAGTTAGAAGGAGGACATACTGACTGCTGCATTGTTGTCAGAGAAGCCAGCACTTCAACATAGCATGTTTCCTTAATGTCTGATCATGTAGTAAGGTCACTTTAGCAGTTCACTAACTACTCATCTTACTGGTTGGACCCTTTTGAAGATAGACTCATGCATGCAGCTTTCTCAAATTCACTTTATGAGACGTATAAATAAGTGTCCATAGCATTTGCAGCATATAGAAAATAATGTACATTCTGCAGTATCAAACATGTATACAAAGTGTACTGTCACCTGTCTGTTATGATGTTAAATGCACAAGTGACCCAGTTTTCATTTTATTGGTCATTATACCGTTAATTCTTGAGAACTTATTGTCTTGGGAGCGATGAAACAGTGAATGACACATTGTGTGTTCCCCGAGCACTTAAAGTCAATTTCAATTAGAGAGGAAGCCGCAGTGTGCAGCTGCTTCACTTTATTAGATCAAGAGACCCCGTAAATTAGATCCATTTAGATGTGTTAGACCCTGTAAATAGGAACCATTTCAAGAACCCTCTCTCGGGAGCCATAGGCTGGGCACTGACTGGGGATAATGGTGTGATGTAATGATTGCAGAGACACATCAATGCAGACAAAAAGGAAGTGTCGGACTACTGTCACTGCTAGGAGGCAGCCACCTTTACTAAGCGCTTCATAAATGTGTTTGTTTTGTTTAGTTTCTTGCCTCTGAATGTTTTGTACTGTCCCAGATCCAAACTTCCTGTGTTCCTGGAGCCAGCCTCTTGTGGACACTTGACGAACTGCAGGGTTTTGCACACACTTAGCTTCAGTTTTCAAGACCAGAGGTTGCAACTTGATATATACCTGTTATTGTTCAATTTTGCCAAAACATCATATGAAGGAACTCACTCTTGAATCACTTAAAATTAGCTATTTAAGTGAAATATAAATACTAAATAGATCCACATAATGGCTTTAATTTGCAGGAAATTACACTCAGATGTGTATGTTGTGCCTTTTACATATAACATACGTCCCTTTAAAATGTAGTTTGAACTTGGATTGCTGTTATCATGTAATCTGTCATAAATATGGAGACTCTTCTGGAGAGTAAGACAGACTTATGGATTTATTTATGGCATGTTGTGTTCAAGTGCTGCATGGACTTTTCGGTGTCAGAGGCCATGTAAAGCTTGAATATCAGATTTTTTTTTCACACATGCACACGAGAAATAATCAGAGCGATGCCGAGGAAGTTTCAGTGTCATTTTATTGTGAAAACATCAGACAGGGTGTAGCGCAGGTGGTGCTGCTGCAGGATCGACATCATCGCTCTCACACACTCGGTGCAACAAGCACGCAGTCAATTATTCATGAGTCGCCGTGAGAGCGGCAGAAAAAAAAACCAACGGAGTAGAAACAGCTCGGCGAGAGAGAGAGAGAGAGAGAGGCCGTCCCGGGAGGAAAAAGAGAGATACAGAGAGAGTTTAGGTGTGTTGCCATGGCGATAACAGAAAAAGGATGATGTTTATGGGTAGATGTCAGAGAATAAATAAATAAATAAGAGGTGCCTGTTTGAATGAGGGTCTTACATGGAGACGTCCCCTCTAAGGCAGAGTGTGTAGAGCACAAACACACACACACTCACACACACACACACACACACACACACACACACACACACACACACGTCATACAACGTACACACACTCTTGCAGCCCTCATCCAGCTGCACCACTTGTAGTTTCAGCACACGAGGCACTCTGACACACACACTGCTGATGACACGGTATAAATTCAGAAACAGACACATCTGATTAAGAACTCATTCTTCAAAAGGGCACACACACACAAACACAACACACACACACACACACACTCATTACTGTACAGGTTACACCCACACCATCTGTCGGATCATGGAGCTGCTGAGGAGATCAGAGTGTGGGAACTCGGCTCTCTGAGGGAAGACGCACAAGATGTCAGAGCAACACAGAGACCGCTGAGAGCACAGCGCACTAACGTGGACATATGTGACCAATACTGTTGAAAAAAAGTCAAAGATAATTAATAAATCTGGCTCCTATCTTTGCATACTTTTCTAACGTTTCAATGTCTGAGACCTTCTTGGTAGAAATCATGTAAAGGGAGCGTTTAAGTTACTCATCCTAGAAGGTACTTAACAGAACTGATTGAAACAATGGGCCACCTTAGGGACATAACTGTAAAGCATGCCGTAATATGTAACTCTGACACCTAGTTTTAAAATTGGTACTACAGTCCAAATTCAAAACATTGTATCCTTTAAAAGAGTTCTACCAGAGATGTTTGGTTGTCAACAAATACAACTTAAAAAAAGGTAGAATGCTGCATGGCAAGATTAAAAATAAAGATAATATGAAACACTAAAGCATTTCTGAGAGTCTCTTTTTTTACCTTACATGTGAGCCTTTTTTTCTTTATCCACATTCAAGAGCACTCTCAAGACTTATCCCTGCATGATGGTGTGAACATCACCTGAGAGCCTGGGGAGCTTTTCTCTGCAGTCACATGGGCCTCTGCAGGAGCTTAACTGTGTGAAATCTCAGTGAGTGTAAAACTCAAGAGAGGCTTCTGTCATGTGGTGAAGAAGTGAATTTAAAGATGTGCGAATGGATTTTTCTTCGAGTTAAGAACGTGGATGTGTTGCAGTTTGTCTCTCTTAAAATGTAACTCATTCTGGTTCTTCTCCTGTTTGTCGTACCTCTGAGTCCTCTAATTATTACGACGACTATAAGGTAGACCATTTGATAACAGTGTCTGATATGAGTCATCATTGTAGAACTATCTTGCGTTCACACTTGGTTCCAATTGTTTTTTAATTATGTTGATGACCTACAACAGCAGAGTGTGAAGTAGCAGAACAATTTGTCCTGCTGGCAGAAACCAGCGTTGTGGGCTGACACCGAGAAAATGAATGAATGCTGACTGTTTGAGTGTGTGTGTGTGTGTGTGTGTGTGTGTGTGTGTGTGTGTGTGTGTGTCAGCATGGAGGAAGGCCCAGGTCACCACAGAAAAAAGGTTCAATGATTTCAGCGGCTCTGTGTTGCTGAAAATGGAAGGCACAGAGAAACATAGGGGACATGTGTGTGTGTGTGTGTGTGTGTGTGTGTGTGTGTGTGTCTAGCAACCAGGCAATTAATCAATCCAACATCCACACAGTTCAGAAACAAAAGCAGAAGGAAGAACATCGTGTCCTGTACAGTGGAACTGTATATATATGTCAGTATTGCAGGCAAAGAGGGGAGAGAGTTGAATGATCTAAGCTTTGTCCCTCTGTGCTGAAGATTTCAGATATGATCAGAATTTGTTGCGTTTTTGGTGCCAAGAAGGAGAAAGAAACCAAAACACAACATTTTTGGAAACATCTCATTGTTCTTGTTCCAAGATATCATTTGCCCTTAAAAGAATAGTTTGTCATTTTTGTGAACACACCCACATTACTGAGACCACACCGACATGTCTGTTTGCAAAAGGAAGATTTCGCTACCAGTCAGTTAGCCTAACGTGACAGAAATAACAAGCTAATTTGTCACCTTAAGATTTGCTAGACCAACATTTAAAATTGCCTAATCCTCACGTTTGCTAAAAACCTGCACATTCTCTGCTGTAATTTGTGTTTATGACTGACACAAATATTAGCAAACTAGCATGCTCAAGTAAAACTGTTAAACCAGCTAGTAATCATCAGGTTAGCATTGTAATTATGAGCACGTTAGCATGCTAATTAGAGGAGAGGTAGGCTTCTCGTGGTCAAAATGTCAGTGGCCAATCCTTGGTTTGATAAATATTCCCAGCAGTCTCAGCTGCAGCTAATTTATCTTTAGTGCTAATGTAAAAACAAAACAAACAAAAAAACTAAGACGCTGAACAAACTTAAGCAAACTACTAAACTGCTAAACGCATGTTAGCATTGTCGTTTGGAGCATGCTAGCATACTCAGAGTGCCATGTAAGCTTAAAGCACTGCTGTGCTGTTCACGCAGGGTTTGTGCAAAGCTAAGCTAATAATGTAGCTACACGCTGCTCCAAATGGATGAGTAGGCTACACGTTGGTGCAGCTTCCAGGCTTGTGAGATGTCTAATAGTCCATCTTGGAAAGGGTTAGCCAAACCTGCTAATCTAATCACTGTCTTATTCAAACTTGCAGAAAGGACAATTGATTTTCAAGCAGTTTGTTTCGTCACAAATGTCAGACATTTTTTTTAATTCAACAAAGTTTCCTGGATCATGAATACATGATTTTGTGACAACCCGTAGGCCTACCGCTTTAAAATCCATTCACTCTACTGCTTATCATGAATACTCCGGATGAACCATTAGGAGGCACAGCGCTGACTCCCCTTCTCCAAGATGGCCGCTGCTTTGAAGGATTGTTCCTTAACAACAGCCGCATCTAAATTCAATAATAACATAAATGTAAAAATGTAAAAAATCCTAGTGTCCTATATCCTTCTCCACATCAGACAATATCAATTTCAAAACCTGCCTGTCTTCATCTCAGCAAAACAGCACATATGTAAATCAGTCTAATATTAGACATCGTTAAAACAGCATAAATATTGTTGGCTCTACTTCTGCAAACACTGCACTAGTACGAGACAACTGGGCAGCAAGCAGGCCGGGTTATTTGTAGATCCAGGAATTAAGAGCGGGGGACAAAAGCGCCTAAAAATGTTGTTTGTTTTTATCTGAGGCAGAAAGTCAGCCAGGTGCTGTCGCTGCTGGGTGGATGGCTGTGGGGACATTTTAGCCGCTCTGTTTGCTGAAGCAGGCTGTCTTTTCCTGAAGGGATGGCAGGGATCATGAACACCGACTGGCTGCTGTTTTTTTTATTTATAAAAAGGAGGCCACTTTGGGAATGAGGTGGGAGAGGTGAAAATAGAGTGAGGAGAAGAGAGGCCTCTGTGATGGCTTGTTTGCAGGCTAAGAGGTCCTTTGTGTGTCGTCCTTCTTCCATTCTGGGTTTTAAATGAGAAGTTTAAGATGAGGCTCAGTCAGAGTGTTTGAGTGGAGAGGCTCAGCTCGACCAAAACCTCTGCTCACAGCTGCTGAGTAAGACGCTGCGTGGCAACAACATCAGCAGGAGTGCTAATGCGCGTGCTGAGTTTGTGTGTGTTTCTTTTTTTTTTTTTTTTTTGTGCGACTCTCCCAGGAGGGGGCCGTGCTAAGAATACAGCCATTGTTTTCTGCAGGAGGAGGATAGTCGGGGCCACGGGCCAGACCAGTAGCTTTGCTCCTATATTACAGCCAGATGTGTGTGTGTGTGGGGCTGAAAAAATAAGGCTGTTCTCTTATTAACCCCCCACACACACACAGACATGTGCACACACATGTTCAGTAATAACACTTCAAAAGCTACAAGAAGTGGTGTGCAGCTAAAACATCCACCAGAATGTCTCCTGGAGGACATGTAGGTCTATTTATAAGCTCCGATTTGGTCATCACGCCTTTCAGATATGCTGACATTTCACCCTCCAGCTTCTTTTTGTAAAGACATCTGGTCCTGACTGGACGCAACTCCATAATGCAATACATCTGCAACTGCTGTATGAACTCTAAACTGTAGGAAAGTTCACTTCACTTGGAAAGAAACCACTGTCCACCGTTAAGTCAAAACTCTTGTTGCATGTCTGTCCATGCTGCAAGACCTCCTGCAAATTATTTATGCTGACCTTCAAATCCATCTCTGACTTTTTCAGTACAAAGTCAGACATGCATGTTGAGTTTCCTTACATGTGGTTACCTCCACAGGTGCAGCCAATCACTAATTAAGCCTCATCGCAGCAGGCTCTTCACATGCAGATTACATCAGCATATGAAGAGTCTGCTGCACAAGTGAGCTTCTTGTAGGCTCTATACTTTTAAAGTATGTCTCTCAATTTATCACAGTCGTGTTCATATATATTCATTGCCTTTCCTTCAAACCTTTATCAGTTATTCATCCAGGTTTATCACCTTTAGAGGGTCGTGTGAATCTAGGTCCAAACTCGCCTGACATTGGCCGAGACGTGGATACACTTGACTTGAATAATACTTTGTGCTTAAGCAAAACGTACTGTGTAGGAATTTTTTTATATAATTGATGTTTCTTGTCTGCAAAATTGCCAAAATCTTTAACATGTAAGAAACGACAGCTGGGCCTCTCACAATGTCAACTGCTATTATGTTTGATATAACTCCCCACATGAAGGTGCAATAAACCAAATACACAAACCTACTTTACGAGCCGTGTCAAACTGTTTCACAGCATCATTAACTTCTGAACCTGGTGACTCAAAATGTGCAAAACTACATAAATCACAACCTTTAAAACTAGGATTTGAGGTCTAGTAGTCTTTGTTCAGTGAAGTGCAACAAAGAGATGCAGCTTTTCCCTAAAATGTCTCCTTCACTTTCGGAATTTAAAAGAGCTGTAAAAAGCTAAAAGTCTCCCTCCGTCTCCCCCTCCTCTGTAATGCTTACACAGCCGCCTGTAATCCAATTGACAGCGTGATGGAGAGTGCAGTTATTAACCTTGACATTGCTTAGCATCGCTAGCATTAATCACATTACAGTGTGAGATACAGTATCTGATCTGTGATGTGGGCAGCAGATTGCTGGTGTGTTCACTGAGCAGCAGCAGCTCGTTCTCAGGCTCTGCATCGGGGGAATGATGTGGACGCAGAGTGTGTGGATCTCTGACGCTCTCACAGACATTTCGGCACCAAATGTTGGAAATGAACATCGTGAATCTCAAACACAGAGGGACAAAGTCATGTGCTGAAATGTACCATACACACACCTTTTAGAATGAAAACGCCGTAATGTACCGGAGGTAAGTTGTGTAGAAGAAATGACAAAACAACTTACCAACAGTTTAAAAAAAAAGTCCTAAACTTGTTCAGAAACAAAACTTAAATCTTTCTCTCTTTAATCAATGATGCAAATTAAATAATATTTTGTTATTGCTGCTCGCAGCAATGCTTCATAAGACAATAAAAATAAGCATAAAGACAAAAGGGTATTTTTAATTTACTGAAAGACATGTTTGGTCGTCAGAGAAGGGTCTTTGTTCGTGGGTGTGGTCTTTAAAGTGTCCACCGAGTCCCCCCCGAGTGGGGCTTTGTGGGTCACAGCAGGGCGGGGTTATGAGATCCAGTGCCTTTAACCCTTCCACAACCACACAGGCTCTTTGTCTCTGTTCTCTCAGCTCACACTTTCTGTGCAGACTTGTCACTTCTCATCCTGTACTTTCTGAAGTGTTAAGGATGCTCGGTGTTACAGGCAAAGATGTGTGACACGCTTCCCACTTTCCTGCTGCTGCTGCTACAGAATTCACAGAGTCCTCAGGTTGTAACACAAGTGGTCCCTTCTCAAGATAAGAGACCAGCGACAGCCTGAAAGCTGTCGGCTGTGTGCCATGTTGCCACGCCTCCATTTGTGGAGGTCTTGAGAGTGAAGTCAGTAGCCATCCATTACCGGGCGTCCTTGAGGCGGTGATGAGCCAGCTTCCCTCTGAAATACATGAATCTAATGAGGGCAAGGGTGATGGGCGTTAACACGCGGCGCCAACAGCGCAGCAGAGGGCATGACTCGGGTTTTACAATTTGACGGAGTTTCTCTATTGATCAAGGGGGGGTGGGGGAGTTAAGCTTAGCTCCCACAATGCATTGGGGTCAGGGCGCGTGCGAGGCCGCTGTTTTGCTTTGTAGAATCGGAAGCAGCCTAATTTGTCAGCAGTTTGTTTAAACATGTTGGGAACATCGTTCGGAGAATCCCTCTTCAAGTCTGTCCTCTGAGGATACGTTTTAAAAACACCTTGAAGACCTGCTTCACCCGCACATTTCAAGTCTTTGCATGCGTTTGGTTCGTTTAGCCCACATTCAGATCCAAACAGAGCCGCTGCATCACCCCACATTCTCCTCTTCAGGCCCGGACAATCACACATTACCTTTCTCTCTTTTAGCACCTGTTTACAAGTCCAATTCAGACCCCACGCCTGCAAGGTAAGACGACAGTTTTTTAAAATCAAGTTTGCTTCCAAAATAATCTGCCCTTCACTCGTTTTCGTGCCTCTCCTTAAACGAGGCCGCCATTCTCAGAGTCCCAGCTCTGTCCTCCGTTAGTCCAGCCGCAGGTAGCTGGGCGTGGAGTAGTTGAACATGAGGAAGTCCAACTTGTAAAGCTGGGAGAGCTGGATCTGCTGCTGAGTGCTGATGTTACTGAAGAACTGAGCCGTCATGGCGTCTGTGGTGCGGGTGGATTTGGCGTAGCTGGGGAAGCGCAAGGAGTCACCGACGCCCAACAGCCGCAGCACGTAGTTCGCGTCCTCTTCCAGCGTCTCGTACTTCCCCACGAGGTCGTAGTGGATGTGACACGGGTGACAAAGCTGGTAGACGGTCTGCCAGTGCTCGTTGAGTGGGCCGTCTCGCTGCGTGGCCGGGTCCACCAGGTACTCGGCGAATTCCTTGAATTTGACGTCGCTCCGTTCATCAGGGCGTCCTGCGTAGCGTTCTTGCGGTAGCGGCGGATGATCCGGGTGCCGAAGCGCTTGTGGAAGGATGAGTTGTACTTGAGGGTGAACTTGTTCCGGTACGCAGAGACCAGCCTCTCGAAAGGCTCGCGGACAAAGAGGAACTTGAGGTAGTTCTTGAGACGATGGTTGATCTCTGCGATGCTGTACTGGTTCAGCGTCTTCAGGTTGGCGGGAACGTGGGCTTCGTTTGAAGGGATTTCCATCGGGTCGCTGTGGACGAGAGGCAGCACACATTTGAGGAACAACATTCAGCTTTTTGTATGATCACAAACTTCCATCATGGTCATAGATCAATGAGGTTAAAAAAGGTCAACGACTAGCCCTCAGTTCTGTCTAAGGCGCAAAACCCACCTGTATTTCCCCCGGCCCGTCAACACCATCATGACACGTTTCCAGTTGGTGCACGCCACCTTGGGGACGTAGCAGTAGATGAGCTCATGGTCCTCATCCACCACGAGGTGCTTGAGGTCTCCGGGCGTCAGGACTCTGCGCTTACGGTTGGATGCGCTGTAGACTCGACAGGCGTCCACAACCTGGTCCCTCCTCGCCTGGTGGAGGACGGCTGCTCCAGACAACTCCGGCTGGTCAGGGCCAAATAATGAAAAAACAAGAACAAGAAGTGGGAGAGAAAGAGAGATTGCTGTTAGCAAAAAGCTTCTAGGATGTAGAAATCTGGAAATGATGCTCTGGAATCTTTTTTTTACAAATGTGATTCCTAACTTATAGAATGCATCTAATGGATGATAGCAACAGTTTTGAGGTGCCAAATCACAGAGCAGGCCTTGACTGCACATTGCATGATATTAATCAGAGAGACCAAACAAGTTGCACAATGAGTGACTTAGCAACAGCAACAGAGGAAACATGCATTTTTTACTCATAGTGTGTTGGATAACCTGCTGCTGTAACACCACAATTTCCCAGTTTGGGATCAATAAAGTAATTCTATTCTATTCTATTCTATTCTATGCTTATAGGCAGACACAGAACTAAACTCTAGGTGGGTTGTGCAAACTTTGGGTGCCATTTTTTATTGCCATCATTGACACCAAAGCCGTCAGCACTCAAAACGTTATGATTCAAAACACCAACCGAGTCCCGACTCAAGCTTTGTTTCATTTTTGTCTTCAGGTCAGGACCAGACTCCTTTATAAGATTTTGTTCTACCTGTAACTCACACTTTAATGCCCTTCTTTCATCAGCTGTGAAGTGGATTCTTACACAGCCAGAGAACACAGAGGAATCCTCTTCTCATTAGTTTATAATGTTTCAGCACGTCTTAGACATGAGCAAAGGAGGCTGTAACATCACTCCACCTCCATCTGTCACACAACGTTAACTGGATCACTGGAGCAGAGGCTGTCAGAGGAGCTGCATTAACCTGCTGCACGCTTTCCAGCGATGCAATCCCGTCTTGGCTTCTATCAAATTTGTTTTGATGTATGTGGTTATTTTTGCCGTTTTTCCCGCCTGTCCTGCTGTTGCTCCAACTATTCTCTTGAGTGTAAAACAGACGTGCATCGCCACCAGTCTTGCTCCCTCAAAAATCAACGAACAGAAAACTCACATCGTCCACTTTACACTGTGAACATCATCATATGGAAAACATGGCAGACTAGCTGCTTTGGTAGCCTACTTAGTTTGAGTCTTTATTTAAGAACTAAAGTGTCTTCACATTTTCAGTCTTACAGGTAACACTTTTAAACCTCACTGACTAAATAATATAAGTTTTTGTTGTCTTTGCACCTTGTGCAATACGTGTTTCCATCCATTCTCAAATCCATTATCTATAACGCTTTTCCAGTTCAGGGTCGGGAAGTCTGGAGTCGATCCCAGCTGTCATTGGGCAAGAGGCGGAGTTACACCCTGGAATGTTCGCCAGCCAATCACAGACAACCAGCCACACTCACATTCACACCTACGGACAATTTAGAGTCACCAGTTAACCTAACAAGCATGTCTTTGGACTGTGGGAGGAAGCCGGAGTACCAGGAGAGAACCGACGCATGTACGAGGAGAACATGCAAACTCCACACAGAGAGGAACCTGTCAGACCGGTATTCAAACCAGGAACCTCCTCGCTGTGAGGTGACAGCACTAACAACTGCACCACAGTACAGCCAACTTAAATCCAACTATGCCAATAAAACTCTCTTGAATAAATGAAACTGAACCAAAGCAGAGAGACAGATGAAGAGAGAGAGACAGGAAGAGAGAGAGAGAGAGAGAGAGGCAGGCAGACAGATAATGAGACGTGTTATTAATCTCAGCCTTTATTATCACTCTCATCTCTTTATTGACTCTATCTTTTCCTCCTATCTGAGTCGCTCCGCAGTGTATGAGAGAGATTAGACCACGGGTATGAAGGGAATATAATGATACTGGAGGATATTACAGATATTGAGAGTGTTCAATATGCACAGATCCGGACAGCAATCATTCATCCGAGCTATATTTCATATTCACCGTGACGCTGGTGATGAAGTGGGCCGCAGCAGGAGGGAAAGACGGCGGCTGGGGATGAATTAAAAGAGTCTAAGGCGGGGGGGAGAAGCCTTTGCATCTGAAGGGCAGGAATGTTTTTTCATGTGCCTCTTGATTATTTTTCCTCAGGGTCTGAATTCCCCTCCAGGGCAGTTCCCCGCTCTCCTGGAGGAATCTTAATTGATTGTACTGTGGCCTGCATCTTTACCGCTCACAACAAGTGTGTCCTTTCAGCTCCACAGCGTCCTCAGCTCAGAGGGCGGGAGACCTGGAGGACCAAAAATAACTCCGGGACCACCACCACCGAGGGCTGAACGCCAAGACAGCGTGACTAAAGAGGCTTGTATGTCGTTTTCTTTGAAGTCAATCTATAACCAAGTGGGCGATTCATCATGTGCACAGCTCGCTGCAAGAACACGGAAGAAAACCGATCGTTCTTTTTTTTATCTGATGACAACATACAGAAGCAGTGAGGGCGAAGTCATGGTAAACACATGACCTTTAACCTCAGATGTTTCTGAATGACGGCTGTGAAAGTCACGCTTCATACTTCAGCCTCTTCAGACGGTCATGTGAGGATTCAGGTCAAACATACAGGTTCTCTGTTGTTACTATATAAAACTCTGCCCTATTGCCTTTAAATACCATGCATTTTCACGTTGCATTGTTGGTGCTTTGTGAAGTATATGTGACTTTTACTTACGGGTAGTGTTGTAGCCCTTGAAAATTTGTCTTAATCTCTAGAAAACTTTTTGAAGGTCCCAGTATATTTTTCCACATACATTTATTTGTACTTTTATCCCCCAGTTACAGCCGCATCCTTCCCGTTGTTACGCTCTAAGTGAGTGACACGCCCCCTGCACACAAGATGATGATTTTTGAGTGACATGTTTGGTCTTGGTCTTGTCTCGGTCTCATCCTGCTTTAGTCTTGGTCTTTACTTGGTCTTGATTCCTTAATGTCTTGGACCCGGTATCTGATCACTCTGATCACTCTGGTCTCGGGTACGTCTTGGTCTCTTGACTACAACACTACCTTTGGGTACAAAGAACTTAACCTGAATCTGAACCTTCCTCTCTGCTTGTTGCTACTTCTACTTTCGCCCACTTTTTCTAACAATATTCTCCTTTTTTTTTTTATAACCTGTTTCCCTGTTGTATCAAACTTTCCTTCAAACTGTTTTCTGTCAAGTATAATTCGACAAGACACGATGGATTATGAGCGACTCTGCTCTGAAAGAAGGCCTCACTTCGCCTCCCTCCCACCTCTCCTCTCTTTGTGCTCGCTGCTCCTCCCTCTCCATGCTAACGCTGACACATCAAAGGCCTCTAAGGCGTAACAGCACACAGTGAGTAGCAGCTTTTTGTTGATGAAAATCTCTTTTTTCTTTTTTTTTCATCCGCTCGCAGACATCAAGCCATGATTCACACAAATGTCGCAGCGAGCGTGCAGCGTCGCATCCCAGAGGAGGACAAACGCTGTAATTAACATCGGAGGAAAGAGACAAGGGAGGGAATCTTGTCATCTGCAGCTCTGCCTCAGTGTTCCTCTCCTTATCTCGCTTCTTTTCCGCAGGATTACTTTCTGCCATTTTATCTCCTCTTCAGGCAGATCAGTCGGTCTCTTGTGCAGTTTCCATGAAAGGCGTTCGGATGAGAGGAAGAAAAGCAGAGGGGGAGATGAAGGGGGGGGGGGGGGCGAGATGTCGATACAGGCTGAGAGGAAGCGGTGATGGAGATCGCTGACCCTGGCCATGTCAGAGTGTTCCCACGGGACGGAGGAAACCATTACTTGCATACTTTCTTGCACAATAACCCCTTTAATCCCCTTTGGACAAGACGAGTGTGGCGTAAAAACCACAGCTGTATAAGTAGCATCACATGATATGGTCGATTTAGTTTGATCTCTTCCGATTGGTAAAGTTCCCAGGAGGGCCTCAAACCCTCAGTCAGCAGATTCCCCCGTGCAGCTGAGTTTTATGGAGTATCACTCAGCATCACAGCATATAGAAGTATATTCATCTCTGTAGGAGGGGTATGGGAGAATTAGCATTCTCTGTTAGCGCTGAATCCAATCTCTGTGGCAAACTCGCCCAAGAGAAGTGAGAGAGAGAAACTCAAAGGAAGAAAGCACACAAAATCTTTCTGCATACATTTAAACCTAATCTCCCTCAAAAAGTCATTATCAGTATTGTATATGCTAATAAGAAAATCTCTACTTTTTTAATCTTCAGATGCCAGTGGGAGTTGAAGGCGAGCACATAGCAGCGTTGTTTTTTTGTCACTGCGCATTTTATTTATAAAAAAAACGTGTCAGAAACGTACGACGGGGCAGCGTAGAGATCGCGTATCTCATTCTCAAGTCTCCATTTCCCGTCACACCTGCATCATTGTCACTGAGGGATGTTGGGAGTTTGACAAATGATCTGAGAATCAGCGCAGAGTCGTGTGGATGTGACGGCTGGAAATGAGCTGCCTTCAAATCTGCTGATGCTTGCAAAGAACGAAAAGAGGAAGGAGGCATGGAGGAGATTAAGGAAAGGTCTGATGGAAGGAAGGAACTCCCTGCACCGTGCAAGGAACTCAGATGCTTCAAGATCACTTAGTTTAAAGTGACTTTTACTTGTTTTAACTTGTGGACAAGTTAGTGGACAGTGCAAAAACTCAAATCTTACCAAGTGTACTCGTCTTATTTTGAGGGGAAAAATGTGTCTTTACACTGAGCAGAAGTAATTCAACTGCTAATTACAGATAAACATCTTATTTGAAGATGAAACAAGTAAAAGTGAGGCCTGAATTGCATGTAAAGAGTAAAAAATGGCTGCTGGTTCAGAGAGGCAGAGCTAGACTCTGGCCCTTTCTGAAAAGCCACAGTTCAGTATGCAGTGCAGACTTTTCAGTAGACTGAACCTCATGGAATTTTCTGGGTTCGCCTCAGAAGACTGAACATTTCAGCATGGATACTAACTTCCGGGTTTTGTGCAGTATGGTTTGGATGCATCCTATTGTATGTTAACACTCACCATGCTGTGTTAAATATATGTGTTATAAGAAACCTTTATGAACACATTTGTGAAGAAATGTCTTGGTATGCAATT